AATCACTTTCATTCATCTTCATTACCAGTCCATTTATTTAGGTTTTGCGTAATATATCACACACACATATATATGGAATAGAATAGAATAGAATCGTTTATTTCATGTTATCAATGTCACAATATTACAATTGGAAATACAATGTCAAGGGATAACTATGATTGTCAGTAATAAAATTATAATAATAATAATGAATATAAAATAAAGTAGTATAACTACTGCTTGTCGAATAAAATAAAATTAAAATTGTTTCAAAAGAAACTCATCGACACTGTACAATTCAATATCCAATAAAAGGATTTTTAGTCGGGTACAAAACGTTTCATCGTTTCTAACACTTTTCAGGTCTGTGGGTAGATGTTCGTAGAATCGGGGACCTATATATATATATATAGCGTATATATATCAATATAGCTTTCTAAATATGGTATTGTAATAGCCATTCACATTTTACTACACGCATCGTGTATTTTTTATTCGAAATAGAAAGCGTTGTTTTGGCTATGTATGCTCCAATAAACATATTAAGTATTATAAATTATAATAGTGATCAGAGAATATATAACAGACCTTGTAGTAATGGCACTATGCCAGAAACCGGGTTGCGATTACATCTATGTTGTTGAATTTATAATGCTGTCTTATCCCGAGCGTGGTTGTGAATGATAAGTCATTACATTCGTGATTATTGTAGAAAGCAACTATGTGACAAAATCTCAGATATGTGAGTCTAGTGGTAAACGACACACACTTTAAAAAAAATAATTTTTTATTAAATTAAATTTCACCGTAAAAATCCGTCACCTTTAGACATAAGTTGAAAAGTCACATGCTATTTTCAAAACCGGAATCCGGTAATGCTCACATAACTGCTTGGTGGCAGAAACAGGTAACAGGAATGATCTCATTTTATATATAAGGAACATTTGAGATATTGGCACGTAATAAAAAATGTCAATCACGCCGATTTTACGCTTAACAACAGAACTGAAGCTAAATAAGTTAGAAAAAAACGAATAAAAGGGATTGTTTTTCGTTTTGATGGTCCCTGCACCCGTAGTATGCCGCCTCGATAACGCTATTATATCCACATTTAGCTGTCACATTTGAGTGACAAATATTTTAAAATTTTATCCTTATTAAAATTGAATTTAAATCAGGACGTAAATATTTTAAAACAATCGCGAAAATCTAAAACAGGCTTCCCTAAAATTTTTTTGATGTGACAATAAAACACCGATGGTATATATCTTATATATTGTAAAGATCGTAGTGGGTACATAATTCTTTTTTCTTTTTTTTTTATAATAACGCACACATTCAACATAGCCCCGCTAGGAAAACCCTGTGTCGCGGGTGCCATGGACACATATATAGACAACCACAAATTACACCCAAACTCACAAGAGAAATAAATGAAGGCCATACAAATATTGCTCTCGGCCCGGAAATCGAACCTGGGACCTCTGCGTGGCAGTCTGGCATGGTAACCGTACAGCCACGGAGGCAGTTCAATTACATTTATCTTATTTATTTATTCAGTATGGTACAATTACAGATACACAAGGCACATTTACTTAAAATAGTATTATCTATGCAACTCTGCGACTGCTATCCAATTACAAATGTAGACAGCTTATGCTATTATATAATTACACACAGCTGATCAAAATAATATAAAATAAGGGAAATAACGGATGAATTATGAATTAATAATTTTATAAAATATTCAAAATAATTTAAAAAAATACGAAAATATTAAAAATCATTCTTTATACAATAATTCACTACAAAAATAAATTCAAACAAATTAATAATAAAATAAAAAAGAAATTACAAACGTTGAAGACATCTCTTAAAATTGTTTAAACTTTGTGAAAATATGTCAAAATCGATACTAGAACAGACATCATTGTAGTAGCGGCACATCCTGTGCAGTGGATTATTTTGTGATACATTGCTATTTGATGGTGGTATAGTGACTACTCCAGGGCGACGCATATATCGCCATATATATTTACACATATATTACAGTTAAATTACATAATTTACATTTTTATTATCTATTTCAGAGCGGACGTTATTCAAACTCTGACAATGGTGTTGGTGAGCGGTGCGTTCATAATTCAGGCAACTGTAAAGTCGGGTGGTCCTGTGAAAGTGGTACATGATAATCTGGATGGAGGCAGATTGCAATTCATGAAGTACGTAACGTATTAAATACCTTAGAACTCAATTTACATCGAAGGAGCGAATTATTGTAACCATAGCACAATAAACTTATGTCCATTATATAATGTATGGTGTTGGATCATGGTAAAAATTTCATTTTGAAAAAAATAATATTTTTCCTGTATTTGTCTACATTTTACATTGACAGCTGTCAAAACGAAGAAGCCATTATAAAGATATCTTCACAAAACTACATTTTACAGGAGAAGGTTTTAATGTTATTACCTTAGAATAATAACGCATAGAATGTTAGTTTCATACCAAACGAACTGTCACAAGTGAGGCAAAAATCAAATTCATGTAGGCTAGTTTTAGTAGTAGGTTAATTTTCGGTTTTAGTGAATATTTATATAAAATAGCAATCTGTTTTATGTTTGTCTGACGTATTTTTACACTCATTTACCGCACATTTCGTCATTTTTAGCTAAAATTCTTGATCTTTTCGCGGTGCAAGTTGACCTTGAGCACTGAAGGCCCGCCCGCTCGCGTAGGCCCTTTTGGCGCGCTTCAATTTGCCTCACTTAGCGTGCGGGAACTAGGTTTCTATGCGTTATTATTCTAAGGTTATTACTTTGTTATTTCAATTGCTACGACTTTAGTTTTTACACAGTAAGCATTAATTTATGTTGGCTACAAAGTAAATCTTTTTATATAACTTGCCACGTCATTTCGCGGATCTGGTTTGGCCGCGAACTAAATAAGTTACGTGGTATTGAAATCAGACGCATGTTGTTTATTCACCGATTTCTGGCTTTCTGTTAGTCAATCGCAACTGGCGTTAAGAGGCGGTTTCCAAGCATATAACTACGTGCATTAGCATGCAAAATTCAAATTGGCTACATGTTTCAGATACCCAGAATTATCCATGAAATTGCATTATCCCCAACAACGCAATTGTTCTCTTTTTTCATTGTTGTCCAATCATTTTAAATCTTATTTTTTCTAAATGTAACTCACGCTAAATATAATTTCAAATGATATTTCTAAACGAAGAACCATAATACGAGCCATCGAATTATATTTTTCCGAATTTTTTCCGGAAAAAATTCCATTGTTTGAAATTTTTCACAAAATTAGTGGTACCAACTAAATGCGAGTCAAAAACAACAGAACGTCCGGCTTTCGAAGAATTATTGCGCAGTGTCCGAATTCTCGTAGCTACCGTATCGTATCTAGTTTGTACATTACGAGGTGACGTAAATTGAGCCGTAGGGATCATACTTTTAAGGTCCAATCATCATAATAATATTATCCTCATGAATACGCCACGGCAGATTAGACGTTATTCTTCTACATGTTGTGATTTATCACTTATTATAAGAAATTTCAAAACGAATTAAATATTTGACGTACGTCATTTTAGAAATAACTTAAAGCTAAATGCCTAAACTTCTACGGAAGTGCAGTTTTACTTCATTATTTAACTCCTATAATATAATAATGTATTATTATACAACATCTTTAGCTGTTTCATGCTACGGCTTCGGATGGACGTAGACTAACCTGTTTGTTACAAATAATTGGATCAACAAATCGATACCGCAATGCAAACTACGCCAACTTTATTTTTAGGTAATTTTCTGTTATTTTTGTAAACAGCCATATTTATTTATTAACATTATGCTCACCGAATTTTGTAATAAAAAAAGAAACAAAAGTAAAATTGGGAAAAAAATTAAAAAAAAAACGAATTTTGTGGATAAACAATAAAGAAACAAAATAAACAAAATAAAAACAGAATAGGCAAAAAATTGTGTTCATTGAATTATTGATACTTAATTATGAATATGAGAAATTATATAAATAATATACTAAAATAATACTGTTAAAGAGTAATAAAGAGACATTGCAATCAAGCCTAGTGGCATGCTTTGGAGGCCGGTAACCGCCAATGAATAGAACAGAATCATTTATTTCATAATATTACAATTCGATATGTCAAGGGATAACATGATCGTCATTAATGTATATAATAATTTTACTGTTAATATAAAATAATTAAAAGAAAAATAAAGAAAAATACGAACTACCACAATAAAAATAAAAATTTAAATACTTTTAAAATATAAACGTCCACAATTAAAATATAATTACATTTTTTTTAAAAGAAATTCCTCTATACTATACAATTTATTATCCAATAAAAGGTCTTTCAGTCGGGAACAAAACACTTCGTCATTTGTAACCTTTTTAGACTTGTGGGTAGGTGTTTGTAAAATCGGGGCCCGATTACTCGCTATAATAATAAATTAAAAAATCCCTATTTCATATTGATTTTGACAAATGTTTAAATCGTCAAATCAGAAATCAGAAGACCTGGAACCCTCCTTAAGAAAATCGGTAGGATTTTATTTTAATGTGCACTTTTGGCTGTAATCTCACTAATATGAAACGACGACGGTACAAGTTTGTTCGAAAATGTCTTTTCCTGGAACAGATTCAAGTTCCGGGGAAACACAAATGCTGGTAGTGTAGTTTTTAATCCCAAGTTCATAACATCCAAATATTATGACCCATTGAGTTTGAAATCGAACCCACTGTCTATGTTCCAGGTTTACATGGGATCCAACAGTTCGTGTGGACACAACATCAGCCTTAATTGGGCAGCTTTTCATGTCTGTTTCCATCTACGGTTGCCAACAGACTTTTGTCCAACGCTATTGCTCCATGTCCAGTGAATCCAGAGTCCGGAAAACATTATTGGCCAATGTTCCCGCAGTGGCCATACTGTTCAGTTTATCATGGATTGTTGGGATGGCAATTTACTCTCTTTACAAAAATTGTGACCCATATTTGGCTGGAAATATTGCAGCTCCGGATGAAGTCTTAGCTTTCTATGTACAAGATCAGTTTACTTTTCTACCTGGGATGCTTGGTTTGTTCCTGGGAAGCATATTTAATGGTGCTTTGAGGTAATTGACAAATTTATTTCAATTAACACGTCTCCCCTGTCTAACATAAATGTGAATGGATATGATCCCCAAGAGTCCGTGTGTCTGAAACAACACATCGTTACTAAATTTAATGAATGTCAGAAACATCGCAAATGTGTACTTGAGCAGAATCTACCCAGAGCCATTATATTGCCAAGTGAATGTGATCCTGACAACTACTTGTTTGATACAAAGACTTCTCTAAGTGATGCATAAAATAAAAAGCGGAAATTATTGTTTTAGCTTCATGGTATCCAACGTAAACTCTCTGGCGACGGTAACGTGGGAAGACTTCGCCTCTGCTATTCCAGTTTTTAAAGGAATCGACGACAAAAAGCAGTTGATGTTTATCAAAGTCATCGGCGTTTTCTATTGTAAGTTAGTTTTTCAAAGTATTTTAAAATATTTTACAAAATTTTACGTTAATGAACTAAACTTAAAAAAAAACCCGAAATTAGTATAAATACAACCGAACGTATACCATAAACTAGTGACAGGATGAACAGTTGAACGCCTGGTGGTAATCGACACGCCTGCCCAGAACAGTTACAGTGCACATAATGCTTTAAATCGTAGGGATCTGAGAGGCATTTTGTTGGTAAGTCCCATGTGCTTGTGGTTTTACCAGCATTCTTACCTTTTCAAACCGAAACGCAGTATTACTAATTGGCGGCAGAATTAATATATATATAATAATTAATCCCTTGACGAACACTTTCATATAGAGCCCTACTGGTTCTAAAAGGGTTTTCATATCTTTAATTTTTCTATTTAATTTTTTCAGCATTATTAATAATGACAATGTCATTAGGCGTTGGTATGGTTGGCGGGGTGGTTGAAGTTGCTCTCTTAGTCACATCGGCGACATCAGGGGCTCTGCTGGGCGTCTTCCTCTTGGCTGCCCTGTTCCCAATAGCCAACGGTAAAGGAGCCATATGTGGGATGATCACATCACACATGATCGCCAGTTGGCTAACCATTGGACGGATCTTATATACCAATCAGAAGAATGCAATGTTACCTCTATCTGTTGAGGTAAGCAAATGCCGAAATTTCATGACCTAGATGTAAAGTAATTGTACATTAATAACATTTGCACACGTAAACCATTACAACAATAAAAATCGGTTCTCACTACTCAAAGTATATTGAGAGAAAAACGCCTTGAATTGAAGAAATAGCAAAATCAACCATTAAAGTAATTGCTCCTAAATTAATGTTACGCGCTATTTATGAAAATAAATCTTCATGCGTGAACAGTCACCCTTCGAGGTGGATGATTTTCTTCAAAATGAAATGGAACAACTACGGAAGTAGCCCCTTTCCAACAAAAAAAGAATCATGAAAATCGGTTCACAAATACAGGAGTTATCGCGTAACATACATACAAAAAAAAACATATAATCTAATTGCGAACCTCCTCCTTTTTTGAAGTCGGCTAATGACACAAGTATGGCAACTCTCCACACAAACGTAACAGCGTGGTTTGTATGTGTGAATACGCAAAGAGTCTGGTTTTTGCCAAAAAACAAAACTTTCCCGGGAAATCTGTGTCAAAATCCATTTTTCCGCTACGTTAACTCTTTAACATTTGACCACTGCATACAACATGGGGTTGTTAATGGCCAAAAATGGTTTTTTCAGCCTAGTGCGTGGATTTTCTTTTTTAAATTATGTTTGAAAAACATCTATGGTTAGAAAATAGTAGTTTATGTCACTATTACTTAATGAAAGGCAGTAAAGTACGACGAGTGTTTTAAAGTCTAATTATGTACAGTTACATACACTGCTTTATCTACACACATAATATTATAAGCTCTCTGTGATGTGTTCAGGAACCGCATGTTACAACTGGCGAAATGGCGGCAAATAAAAACTTTTCTCATGCATGTCACACAACCGTAGTTTTTGTTTTTAATTCATAGACAAACTAGAATTGGCCCCAACTACCATATCGTTCGATATCAAGTAACGTGTGAAATTGTCAAAATTGTTTGCTATTGACATTTCATTTCGAATAAAACTTCATCTCGACTGATATTAGAATTGAGGTCGAATCAAATTCTTTTGTTTTTAGATGTGTTCGAAATTTGAATGTAATAATAAAATCGAATTTTTATTAATGAAGCAATAATAACATTTTCACTAAGAAATTTGTTCTAACAAAACAGTTTATCTTTATGCTGGTCGCAATTTGCGGTTTTTGAACACATCATAGAGGGTTTATGATAATGTGCATAGATAAAAAAATTTTAACTTATATAAGCACAATATATTCGCTTTTTATAGTAACTTATTTATGTAAACATTTTGGAGTAATTTCCTTTCATATAATATAATAAGAAAAGCTTTTGACACACAGGTACAGAGATAGTTTGACTCGTATAAAACAAAGGCCTCCTTGGGCAATTCTTTACGGCCTCATCACCAACTGCATCTAGCTATATGATTAGCAAACATAAAATGATTTTATTGTTGTTCCAGGGCTGTTCAAACGACACTGTAAATATTTTTAGTCCGAAACCTCTGCCTGTAGAAATGAACCAGACGCTATTCAATGTATCACCCATATTGCAAACAACGATGTCATCCCCAATTGAAAACTCGGAATCAATAACGTATGTTGATTTCTTATTGTTTTATTTTAATGGTGAATATTTATCATCGAGTATATAACCAGAAATAGAGACGAAATAAGGGCCATATATTCCTGGTAACACATTAGCGATACAGCTCTTATAAATATCAACTCCCGTTTGCACTGAAATATAGACAGGTCAACTACTGACCTATGCGTATGTCTCCGTATCTTCCAAAAAATATTCTGTATATATTGTAATAAAGATAATATCTCTAACAATGCCGTGCTGTTCTATTCGGTGGTGTGGGAAAAACAGCAAAACATCTAATTACAAAACAAACGGAATCACATTTCATCGGTAATTAAATATTAAATATGTAATTTTGCAATTTTCGTCCATTATAGCAAAGCTCAAGTTAACTGGTCGATTTGAAGTGAAACAATTGACGACACCCGTCAATTGTTTCGAACTCGGGCTAGCCAATCGGAGCGCAGTTGTCACAGTAATGATATGGCAGAATAGTTTGCAAACAAATATAAATGACATTTGATCTACATTCCTGGTTACATACTCGATGATATTTATGAACATTCTCGGAATACTGAATCGTTAAGAGTACTTTAAAACTATTAGGGATGCATATTACTATTTGATTGTGTATGAAGATCGATTCAATGATTAGCGATTTTTTGTATCGATTCATTAGGGGAATCGAATCGTCTATATCGTATTCATAATTTAAATAAAACAGTCTCTGTACATCTACTGAACCATAAGGCTAATCTTAATTTAAATTGGTCTGCAAGAAACAATAGTTCGGCAACATACCTCTTTCTGTCGCAATAATGTGAGCATTACGGTTTTGAACGGTAAGGGTACTGGTGAAATTATAGGCACGTGAGACTTGTCAACTTATGTCTCAGGGTGACGGGCGCAATGGCCCTTCAGATCATTGCGATTTAAAACTCTGAGTGGCACTGCAAGTGTTATGGACAGGCGTGTAGTTTCACCATCAGGCGCACGACTTGTTCGTCCCGTCACTTGATATTATAAAAAAAGTCTACGATATGCTAATTCTGTGCCATCTAATCGTCGTCTCTCATGGCTAATATCACTCTACATTTAAAGTCGTAAGCGACTGTCAGACTTATAATTGTTTTCAATATTCATTTTAAAACGATTTTTATGAGATAGATTCAAGAGTAAAAAAAATTGTGCATCGCTAATGACCATGTTCTTTTAAGAAGGATTAAAATGACAATCAGACATTAAAACAGTGGCAGTCGACAAATATTCTATCGACTTTTTAATGAATATTGGTTACGTTCGTGCAATGTAATTAAGATTTATAGAACGTAAAAATATACATCATCATGGAATTATAAAGACGTGTCTTTGTAGTTAATATATTTATTTTAATACTAATGGCTCAACTGTCAAAATAAGAAGGAAGGTGATAACACAATTATTAATCATTTGGAACGTTATTACGTCAATTATTCATACGTTTCTGCAAAATTCTCAAAAATTTGTCGCCTTTCACAATTTATCGATGAAGCTATCGACAATAACTACAACACTATTTAAATTTTTACGAGAAATGGCTACCCTGCAAACGTCATTTTAGTTCATCTCGGAAAAATACAATATCATTCCTTTGCATTAAGACTTTTAAACAATTTTGAGTTGAAAATAAATTGTTTTGAGAATTAAATATAACAATGTATTTTTTTTTCAGGTCCAGCATACTAATGACTATGTATTCAATATCCTACATGTGGTATGCAGTAATCGGGACAATTTCTTGCGTAATAATTGGTAATTTAATTGGTGCCTTAACTGCAAGTGAGAAAGATGCTTTCGACAAGCAATTGCTGCATCCTCTTGCAGCAAGGATAGCTAGCAAACTACCTGGTCGTAAACGTACATATACTGTTGAGAAGAAGGAACCTTCAAAGGACTCTGAGAAGACTGAAGACACAACCGTAGAAGACCTAAACATCAACAACGATAAAACTCCTAGTTTTGTTAGTAACGAAAAATCCTTTGTGGAAGTGACTTCACCTGAAAAAAGTATGAGTAAATTGTGATTTAACTAGTATTAACATTAGTGTGGACTTTAAGTCTTCTTACGTTAAAAAAAGATACTCATGTGACTGTGTAATTTGAAGCCTTGGCAAACTTTTTATAAGTAAACTATGAAAATCTCGTCCTCCAAGGGGTTTAATGCCTTATTAAGGTTTAATACCCTTTAATTCAAGTTTAATACCTCGGCATGTTAGAATTAAAGTACTATATTTTCTAGGGGCAACTCGAACAATAATGACTAAAGACGATACAGGTGTCACCATTTCAGGTGATAGTACCTAACCAGGCTATTGTCATAGTATAATAAGATAAATGTGGTAACTCTATACAAACGTATGTCGCCAGTCACACACACAGAACAATAAATTTAGTAGAAGTGTTTAGTGGGTGTGGTACGTGTGTCAACAGTACGTGAAGTTCTACGTACTGAAGCTCAATCTGCGATATTCGTTTTTTACGTTATTGCCATGTCAATTGTTTCACGCAAAACCTCGTACATTCTAGAAGAAAATGCTTTATTTTGCTACTTTTTATATGTATATTATCTACGATGGTGTTTACTGTCATCGTTAAGGATTACTTTGTAATTTTAAATAATTTTTCACTTATCTATTTATCGTAATAAAGTTTTGTTACAAGAAATGAATGTTAAACCTTCTACCGCTGCAATATGGTCGTTTCTTTTTTGGGGAAGTAAGTAAACATCTCGAATTTTTCACGCTACTCGTAATTGATAATTGTTTGCCGTCGTTTTGCCACTGACTACTAGATGTCAGCACATTGAATGAAATTTCAATATAAACATCAAAACGTCGTAACTTGCAATAATACGTACTGAAGTTTCAACGTTACGCCAACAGGGTAAAGTTTAAATTGTAATAACAGTCCAGATTTGTTATATTTTTAAAATTAGAAACTACGTCCAATCATTCTGGTAGTAATCGAGGCTTAAGGCATTTCCACTGTTTTTTTTCTTCCGTGATTGCACACATCATCATCATCAACCCGTTTGTACGTCCCACTATTTTCCGAGGGTTGTGAACTTTCTTCAATGTGCAGGTTTCATCACGATGTGTTCTTTCACCGAAAAGCAGAGGTGTGAGCCCGGATTCGAACCCACGGCCTCTGCTTGAGAGGCGGTATATCAAACCATTAGGCTGCCACGGCTTGTATACATAATATTGAAAGGCGCGAGAGACGATTAGCGCAAACCTATGCAACGCGAATGCATCGCGACTTAGTACAATGTATGCGTTCGTATACGGCAGGCGGCAGACGCACACACATACAAGTCACGCTGTTGCGTTTGTTGTTTGGAGTTACCATACTTGTTTTATTATTCTACGCTAATTGTTTTCGATTATATCATAGTAAATACGTTATGGATAACGGCTTAATGTATTTTGATGAGATTGAATATGCTAGCGGTAATATTTTATATAATTTTAGCGGATAAAAAAGGCAATAGCTCTTAAAACTTTAAATATTAAGAAAAGAGATCTTTTGCATGTGCATTTTAAGCGCACGCTGAAGATAAACAGTGTATTAGAATAATGTATTTTTTGATACACACATCGATCACAAAGGAAGATTCTTTTCATCTGACTGGACTCGTACCAGTGTCTGTTGCCATGCCTGGGCGGTGGCCCAGCCTCTTGACCGACTGAGCTTAATAGTCTATACTACCTCAAATATCTTTGGTTGATTCCTCATGAAAGTTTTCCAAAGTGTTGAATCAATCATTTTGGAAAAAATATATAGTAAAATCGAGGATATAAACTGATTACTAAATTACTAATTTTCACGATAGAAAAGAAAACAAACTTACATCGAAATTGTACAAGAAAACCGCTGTATTCAATGGACACTTTCCATAATATACCAATGTTTTTTTTGTCTGTACGATATACATTTTTCAACTGGCTTCAATTTCGTTTTTATAAAAAAATAAGTTCTCAAATAAAGCCAGTGTCTCTGGCGCTCGATCAAAGCAAAATAAGCCGTATTAGTATGGGAAAATGACATAGTATCAACTCTTAACCAACTGAGCTGAGATCTAAAAGTGGCATGGTAACAGACACAGGTTCAAATTCAGTAAGATTGAAGGATATTTTTGTGTGTTTGATTTTTGTGATAATAATGAAAAACTAGTGGAATGTTTTCACAAAAACAGAAGATAGATGAATATCATGGTAGTAAAAATCATGGTATTCAAAAATAAACAATGTCTTAAGGCGCCTTCAAATTAAATGCTTATAAAAGCGCCGCAGCTGCACCACTGTGGCGATGCAATTGCACCACTACACTGCAATAGGCTGATTGATTGATTGATAATTTGAAGGCGCCTTTGTAGTTTAAATATTATGAAGAAAATTCTCGTTATACTAACGGGTAATTATTTTATTTATTTAATTATAAAAAAAACACTATAATTCATACTTGAAATATCGGTATGACCAATAATTTCGTAAGAAATTGACAGTACTGGCTGAAGTAGTGTCAAGTCAGTAGGTCAGTGTGATACATAGTATGGTGGTACATTTAATGTTGTGTTTTGTGTAGGACTGAATTTATATTGCAAATATTTAGTAGTCAGGTCAGTGGAAGAAAAATGTTATGAATTTTTATTCAGTGTCTTCAGCTCTTCATTCGTTATGGAACTTAAACAAAATTCATGATTTAGTGCGGGCTCACACCGCGCACAAAACTGCCGGACGGCATTGATATCGAAGTGTAATTAGAGCGAAAGAGTGTGGTGGTTAACACTCTCGTATTTTATTAAGCAAGGTTTTTTGTGATAATAACGTTATACAGGTATATTTATATATCAATGAAATTGCCTACCTGTTTTAGGTTGCAATGAATATCAATAAATTGCAAGACTACCCTTTTTCCACTAAGCGACTAGCCACAATTCCGCAACCGTAGCGGATAATTTTACTTCCAATTTGCGGCCGCGAAAATGGATATATGGCTTATTTGAATACATGAGAAACGCGCGTGACTGCCTACTTAGTGGAAAATTAGTCGTGAGATTGGCATTCAAGGTACATATGTTTTTGTGAGTCTCGAACGTCTCTACGCGTCTGAAAATTCATATCATTCTGAAATTTCTGACCTTTTGCACTAAAGTGTATTTGTTTTGTGTTTTTTTATAATTGTCCTAATTATGTAAATTTTATATCACTAATTCTTCTGATGGTGACTAGTGAGAAAAGCATTCCACTATTCACCACCAAGAGAGCTGCTGAAGATTAGTCCGTCCTCTGACGAGCGGTTGAGGTGTAACGCTTATAGCAAGTTGAATTTATAAATTAAAGACTGCATGAAAGTCATGTACGTTGTTGAGAAATTAATTAGGTGTATAGTATAATTTTTCTATTGACAAGGCAAAGGACGTTAAAAGTCGGTCAGTCCTTTATTAAAAATGACAACATCTTGATGGTCACGTTTTAGTCGTGTAGCATCGCGTCAAGACGGAAACATATGTTCAAAACGCGATACGGTTCGTTAAATCTAACTATAGGCTCGGCGCCCACTGACAGAACGCCTCGGCAGGGATGCTTCGGTATCCCTATATGCAAGCATACACTGACGTTATTATGCCACGGTATACTTAAATATACCTCAGTATCCCCAGCGCATCGCACGCGGCGTCCTTAAGCATTCCATTGCGACATTCTACCCGCGACCTGGCCTCTTTTCAGATCTCGGCCTCTTTTCAGATCTCTGCCTCTCCTCACCCCGTATAGTTGTACTTAGTGTCGAGAAGCCTGCCGAAGCATCCCAACGCTGCCGAAGTATCTTTGAGGCTGCCGAGGTATTCCGAAAGCCGCCGGCTCTGTATCCCTGAGTATGTCCCAGCTTCAACCATTATTATAGAAATTTCAACTATAATGCTTTAACTTTAAGTTATACTACCTTCCGTCACCTAAAAATCCTCTGCCGAGTCGTACCGTACATATACAAAAAAAATTAGGATCCCTTCAAATTAGACGCTTAGAGAAGTGCTGCAGTGGCGCCAATGACGCGCTGCAGCCGCACCTCTACTAATTATGTAGTAGAGCTCCTTGTGAAAGAGCTCGATCCAGGGAAGTACTGCCACCTTATCTAGTATCTAGACTACATGATGT